GTCTCAGGCAAAACGCGCCGGACCATCTCGCGCGCGGCATCGCGGATTGCGATGACTGCCTCGCGCTGGCTGGCGCAGCGCTGCGGCCGCGCTAGTGCGCGAAAGCTCGCGCGCAGAGCGGCCAGCTACTCTGGCGCGACTGACGCGGCCGCGGTGGCACTGCAGTGCCACGCGTGGGGAATTTCCAGCGCGTCTCGCAGGCTGTGCTGATGCGCGGGCACTTGAGTGCGACTCGGTGTTTCGGACGGGCGCGGTACCATGGTGACGTCGGCGACGGCAGACACGATGATGAGAGCAACGATGATGGTGACGATGGTGACGATGATGACGGCAAGGCCAATGACGGCGCCGATGCTGGCCATCGTGTCGGCTATGGAAGTTTTGGAAGAGTTTCGACATGCGCGCGCCGCCGACGCGCGCGAGTGGCCCGCATGGTACGATCTGACAGGAATCGTGCCCCTCCCAGCAAGCGCGCAAGGGCGCGCGGATGACTTCGACATGCGCACGCGGGGGAGGTGCATGTTTTTATCAGACGAACATGTTGCAAAATCTGTGGCTGCCTTCGGATTTAGCAAAATCGCGCGCGCAGCTTCCTTGAAACATCACGTTGCAAAACCACCGATTGCTGATCAAGTTTCGGGAAATAAATCTTGAAATGCAGAAGCAACCTCAGGTTATTGAAGGACTCGGGTTTGCGCGCGCGACGTCGCGCGCGTGGTATGTTTCCCGTCGCATGCAAGGGACTCCTAGAACTTGATGGTTTTTGATACACGAGTGTGCGAGCTGTTTGTTGTTGACACCATGGGAGGCTATCCAAGCAGGGGTGTGGCTGGGATAATGTGTTCATATTTGAAATATACCAGATCGGGCAATCAGCGTATGTGAACTGTGCTATCCCATGGGGGCGCGATAAAGCCAGCGCGGCTAGATCCGCATTTCTTTTCAGAGTAAGATACTCAATACTGCTGACTGACGACATTACGTCAAGTTGTCCCGATTTGACTGACTGGGGGCGTGAATAAATCTACGCGTGACCGCGGTCTGAACCTCAGGAGGGTGCGATGGTACGAGCGCGCCCGGGCAGAGTCAGGAGTTCCCAGACACGCTATTTCTTTTCACCAATCGGATGCGTCCAGCAAACATCCGATTCGCACAAGACCCGCCCATCAAGCATCGCATTTGCTTATGTTCCGTAGCGGACCCGTGCCTGGATCCGCCGCACGAGGCGAGGTTGACAGTCCCGAGCGGGGACCCTCTTCAACGTCTTCGGGGGGCCCTGCGCTCGTTTTCGCGGGCCCGATGCTGCGCCCATCGCCCGCGACATGCCGCCCCCGCCCCTTTTCCCCAGGCTGGCTGGCCCGCCGGCCCCTGGAATGGCTCCACCGACAATCCGATCACTTGGTGCGACGTGAGACTTCGGTGCCAAATTGACCTGTTCGCGACAGACCGTCGGGTGAAGTTGGCACTTTTTTGTTTACCTGCGCGGAGGAGCCCTGTTGCAAAGAGGGGGAACGACGACGAGGGGACGAGCGGGGGAGGGGGAGGGAAGGGAAGGGAGGTGAAGTGGACACGACTTGCCTGCCTGGGAGCGTGCATAACAGCTGCGCGTGGCCGCGGCCTGAACCTCAGGAGAGCGCGATGGTGCGAGCGCGCCCAGGCACGGCCAGCAGTTCCCGCGGGCGGGTTACGTCGGCGACGGCGACGGCGGCGAGGGCGACGACGACGACGACCGCGACGGCGAGGCCCAGCCCTCAGAGCGTGCGAGCCCCGAGGAGCAGAGAGGCAAAATTCCAACAGGAGCGCCTCAGTACAGTGCTACCAGGCGCCCTCCCACCCCCCCCTGTCGCGCCTGCCCCGCGCCCCTGCGTAGGTCGTCCTCGAGGAAATGTCCGCTGTCGTTGATGAGTGCACAAAAGGCGCGGCGGCCCGACAAGATCCATCCCAGACATGACTTTGTTCAGCGCTCGGATCCGCCCAAAAAACCGTCGGACTCGCACGAGGTCGGCCCACAACAAGCGTCGCACCCGAGCAGGATCCGCAGCGGACCCGTGCCCGCATCCGACGCACGAGGCGAGGTCGACACTCCCGAGCGGGGGCCCTCTTCCAAGTCATCGGGGGGCCCTGCGCTCGTTTTCGCGTCGCCCATCGCCCGCGACATGCCGCCCCCGCCCCTTTTCCCCAGGCTGGCTGGCCCGCCGGCCCCTGGAATGGCTCCACCGACAGTCTGGCAACTCCGTGCTGTCTGAGACTCCGGGCCAATTCCCCAATCGTACCAACTGGCCTGCCTGTCTGTAGGGAATTGTCGTCTCCACTGCTCGCGCAATTCACCGACCCACCCAAGCACAGCTCGCTTTGCAAAACCCATGCGGCGGCGGCTGTGATGACTGCTGGGCGCTGGCTGGAGCATCGCTGCGGCAGCGCTAGAGCTAGTGCTAGTGCGCGCAAGCTCGCGCGCAGAGCGGCCAGCAAGCTTGGCGCGACCGACGCGGTCGCGGCGGCGCTACCTGGCGAGGATTTTCCAGAGCGTCTCGCAGGCCGCGCTGACGTGCGGGCACTCCAATGCAAATTGGTGACTCGGGCGGGCGCGGTAGCATGGCAAAGCCGACAACGGACGACGCAGTGTACGATGAGGATGATACGAGCGGTGTATGACGATGGTGACGATGACGACGGCAAGGCCAACGACGGCACCGATGCTGATTACGCCAATGAAGATGATGGTGTCCACGTGTCGGTGATGAGGGCTTGGAAGGATTTCGACGTGCGCGCGCGGCCGACGCGCGCTCCGACGCACGCGCGCATGGCCCGCATGGCATCACATGATATTGATAGTGTCGCCCCTCCAGCAAGCGCGCAAGGGCGTTCGAATGATATCGGCATGCGCGCGCGAGAAGCCTGCGTGGTCCATGTGATGAAACAGTTGTCGAAACGACTGTGTTTGTTGCAAAAGCACTGTTTCTGTTTAGATGTGTTCGGGAAGCTCGATCTCCAAATCCACACGAATCCTGAAGTGTTTGAACACCAGCGGCATGCGTGCGACGACGCGCGCGAGGCGACTTTTGTCACAATAGTACAAGTAATGCCTGACAACTGAAGAGTTTTGATAAACGAATGTGCGCGCACGATGCGATTTGACAGCGATCGGGGCGATAAAGGGTCGATCTCGGATGGTACGTACTCATATAAGAATGAACGATCGGGCATAATCATATGTAACATGTACGATCCCAGGAGGAGCCGGTAAACCCAAAGCAATGACATGCAATGCACCGCAAAGCAAATCGACGCAATGCGATGCAACGCAACGCAACGCAATGCGACGCGATGCAAAGAAATACAAAGCAATGTACGGACATGAGAAGCAATACAACGCACTGCAGAGAAACGCACAGCAATGCAAAGCACATCGAAGCAATGAGAGGTAATGCAAAACACTTCGAATCAAAGCAATGCAAAATTATGCAACGCAATGCCACGCAATGCGAAGCAATGCGAATCGAGTCAAAGCAATGTCATGCGATGCAAAGCAACGCAGAGCAAAGCAAGGCAAAGCAATGTAGCACGATGCAAACCACTGCAAAGCAATGCAAAGCATGTCGAAGCAGCGCCAACCAATGCAAAGCAACGGTGGGGTGCAAGGGGGGGCGCGGCGACGGACGGGAACGGTGCCGCCGGGCCCGCGGACGGGCCCAGTTCCTCAGAATGGAAGGCAGAAGCCCTGAGTCCAAGCACTGCTCGGGGAGTCGGTTTCAGCGGGAATCAATGGGATTGGGCGGGATTGTGCCAGCTTCCGGCCACGGATAGACCAGCCCAACGCCGATTCCGAATCTGATCCTCCATTGATTGCACCGTCATGGGTGTGACCCAAACGGGGGAGGTGATCCGGAGGTGATTCGGAAGGTGATTCGGAAGGGGCTGGCAGCCCAACGGTACCTGGCAAGGCTTAGGTCGGGCATGTCCCCCAACAGGCGGATTTTGGACGAGGAATGAGAAAAGTCAAGCAGTATTTAAAAAACACCTGAAAATTATCAAGAAATGGTCCCCAGACTATTTTTGCACTATTCTTGAATTTTCCTTCTGCAGAGGGACACGGCCGACTTAAGGCAAAACGCTTGATCGGGGCGCACGGAGGTACCTGCCAGTACGCTTCCCTGAAGCGCCCTTCTCCCTGGGCACCCCGACCGTACGCAAGCTCCCAGGGGACGTCTGGAGGTACCTGCCGGGGATGTTTCCCTGAGGCGCCCGACGGTACTCGCCAGGACGCTTCCCTGGGCACGTTGAGCAGGGACTGACAGTCCTGGCATTCCTACTAGGCCTACCACGAGATGTCTCAGAAGTCAAACATGTTCGAAAAACAAAAACCATGTTCTTAGAAGATAAACCCGATGTGTTACAACAAAGCAGTCTCAGCCACAAGTGTTCTAAGAACATTTCGTGCAGACCACAAAAGGTTCTTAGAACATTCCTTGGTGGGCGGTCTACAGGGGAGCCAGGACGCTTCGACTCTGCTTGAGTACGGCAGGTTCGTGTCGTGTCGACCCTGGGGCTCGCTTCTGACACCGCGGGGATAATTCAACCTTGAACGAAAGATCGGGTGCTTCCGAACCGTCAGCCAGTTCAGCATCGACCGATTCTGGGTCGCCGGCCGCGCTCAACGTTGAACGCCGGCGGTGGGGTCGCCACCGATCGAAACGACGCGAACCTACCGTATCCCGAACGCGCGGGTGGACCCCAGACGCCGACCCGCACCTCTTCGACCTTAGACCAACACGAGCGACGAGGCTGTTGCGCTCAGGCGAAAAAATTGCAGATGCATGAAGACACCGACTCGAGCGCAGAGAGCAACGAACTAGGCAGCAGGCCCGTGCGGAACATGAAAGGCCAAGAGTCCAGGAACATCGGAGAGGCCCACGAGGGCAATGAGAGACGAAGTTGGCTGCCGACGCACCTCCCTCTCCTCTCCTCCGGCCTGCGACCGAGCCCCTCCCCCCTTGGAACGCCCTCCTTCAGGATACGCTCCGCGGTCTGGCGTGTGTTCTCGTACGGCTCCTCTGGCGGGAAGAGAGGGAGGAAGAGGAGGAGGAGGAGGAGGAGGAGGAGGACCAGTGTAAACCCAAGAGTCATCAACGATGTTGGAATTAACCCTCCCTCCAAGCTCCCCCTTCATAGGCTCCTACAGCGGTTCATTTCCATTGAGGGAACTGCCTCGTTGGAACACAACAGTCTGAGGACCCTGAAGCATGCCAAAGCATTGTTTTCGGAATGTCAACGCCACGGATCAACCTGACTGCTGCGTCTTGACGATCCGGAAACGTGCCATAACGTCATTTTTGGGACTTCAGCACCGCGAATAAACATAACTGTTGCACCCGCGTAATACAGAACCCTTCCAAAACGCCATTTCTGGTACGCTGAACATGGGAATCCGCGAAACTCTGCGGCGTGTTGTAAACGAATGCACGCGGCACCAAAGGCGAGAGCCACATTCAAAAAAGGAGCCGCCCTCAATCGCTGAAGCTCTTGTAATTGTTTATCGACTTGCACATTTCGAAAACCATCCGCCCTCTATCTTCTGTACAACTGCTGTCACTCTTTAAGCTTCAGAAACATAAATGGTGAGGAAGCTGAAGGGGCGCTAGGACACACAAATACATACACACAGATAAAAGGATGCCCCATCTTTCCCCATATGTCCTGGGCTTCTGTCTTCCCCCCCACTTCCCATAGTTTCCCATCTGTTCCTGGGAGCCGAGGATCAATTGTGCCTGTGTGTTTTTCCCCCCTCCTGAGAAGCTCCAGGCGACACGCCCGGCCCGCCCTAAAAACTGGCCTCAGGGTGCGACACGGAGACGCTATCCATAAGGTCCAGGCATGGAGGCGTGGTGCGGTCGGTCCCTCCCTGGGGAGCTGGCGCCTCCACGGCTGGCGGCCTTGCGGTCCCGCCACGGGGCGCGCAACAGGGTTTGGTCCGCCTGTTTCCTCCCGCGGCCCTCCTACATTCTGAAAGAGTCGGGCTCCGGCGAGGGCCCGACACCTCCGCACCGTGGCCTAAAAATGAAAGAGAGAGAGAGAGAAACAACACAAAAAACTGTGAAAACAGCGCACGGGTGGGGAAAGGAAGGGGGAGGAGGGAGAATGAGGAAGCGGAAGAGGAGAACACAGGCCGGAAGCAAACAAGAGACTGCTCCGAGGATGGACGTACATCCCCCTGGCAAAATGGCAGCTCGCGAGCGCGCAGACCTAATGGGACTTTGTCCGAAGTGTTCGTGCTGAGGTTCCACACGAGCGAAGGAAGCCGAAGCAGGGAGGAGGAGAGAAGACGATGATGATCACAATGACGATGACGATGATGACCATGATGACGATGATGATGATGATGATGATGATGATGATGATGATGATGATGATGATAGTGACTATGACTATGACGATGACGATGACGATGATGGCGGTGGTGATGAACATGCAGAGTAATATTAATACGAATGCGAAAATGAAGATGAATATGGTGATGATGATGATGATGACGACGACAATGATGTTCATGATGATGACGATAATAACAATGATGATGATGATAATGATGATGATGATGATGATGATCATGATGATGATGATGATGATGATGATGATGATGATGATGATGATGATGGTGAGGGAGAGGAGGAAGAGGAGAAGGAAAAGGATGAGGAAGAGGGGGATGGCGATGATCATGAGGAGGAGGAGGGTGCGGAAAGGATCGCCGATAATGATATATCTATGTATATACATACACATACATACATATATACATACACACATACACATACATATACAAGCAGCGCCAGGTATTGCAAACCGCACCCCTGGCCCTGATCAAAGCGACCCACGTCTGATGAGCACGGGCTCCATCGCCCCCTCGCGGAGGAAGCAGGAGCAGGGAACGGAGGAGGAGCAGAAGCGTCTGACACCGAGATGGGCCCCCTCCGCGATAAGAATCACGGCGGGAGGCCGCCTTCGGCCTCCAAGGGCCCTCCCTGGGCCCGGGAAGCGTCAACAGAACTTGCCCAGGAGGAGCAACTGGCCCACTCGGGAAGGGTCGGCACGTCCCGGCGGGGGCCCACTTCAGATGGAGTGCCAGAGCCGACGATAGAGGAAGGACAAGACTTCCTGGACATAAGCTTTTTGGGGGTCCACGTCTGACGACCAGGGAGGGGAGGTGACTTGAAGGTGAAGGCACCAGTGCCACCAGGACGCTGCCCAACCTTAGTCCATCCGAGTATGTAACACAGCGGGCATTATGGGGGGGGGGCGGGAAGGGCATAACGTAACGCCCCCCCCCGCCGTGTGGTTCCAGCACTAGGGCGCCTCCGCGCATCACAGCGAGCACCAGTGCGCAGCACCGTATGCACCGCCGCAGCCGCATGCACCACATGGCATATGCACTGCGTAGTGCATACGTGCGTCATCGTGCACCGCAGTGTTTTTGTTCCTCAGACCCTCCTTCGAACATTCAAGCGCCGACGAGGACGACGACGACGACGACGAGGACGAGGACAGGGTTGGGGACGATGGCTGCGACGATCACGACGACGACGAGGACGACGAGGACGACGAGGGCGACTAGGACGAGGACGAGGACGGGGGCGATGCGGACGAGGAGGAGGACGAGGACGACGACGACGAAGACAAACTCGAGTACGAGCACGACTACGACGGCCGCCTCGGCAGGTCTCCGGAGGCCTCCGGGAAGTCTCCGGAGACCTCTGGAAGCGTCTGGAGGCCCTCCGAGGCCATCAGCGACGACGACGTCGACGACGAGGACGACGACGACGACAAGGACAAGGAGGAAGGAGGACGAGGACGAGGAGGAAAGGGACGAGACAAGAACGGGAACGAGGTCGACGATGACGAAAAGGACGAGAACAAGGACGAGGACAACGACGAAAAAGTGCGAGGACGACGACGGCCGCCTCTGGAGAGTCTCCGGAGATCTTCGGAGGCATACGGAGGTCTCCAGAAATCTCTGAAGGCGTCTGGAGGCCCTTGAAGGCCCTCGACAACGGGGGCGAGGACGAGGACGGGGAGGACGAGGACGAGGACGAGGACGACGACGAGGACGATGAGGACGACGACGACGACGACGACGACGACAAGGGCGAAGACGACGACGATAACGCGGACTAGCTAGGACTAGGACTTGGACTAGGACTTCACGCTTCCTTTTGCCTCTCTCGATCCTGGGTTGCTTTGGCCGTCGCAGTCGCGGCCAATGGGGGCTGCGCGCCACGCCGCCAAGCCTCTGGGCTGTGGCGCGGGACACACGGAAAGGGGAGCGTCGTGTCGGCCCTTCGACCTCGCTAAGACGAGGACGACGACGACGACGACGACGACGACGACGACGACGACTTGGACGACGACGACCACGACGACGACGACGACGACGATCGCCTCTGAGGGTTCCTGGCGGGTCTCTGGAGACCTGCGGAGGCCCCTGGAGGCGTCTGGAGGCCCTTCGAGGCCGTCGGCGACGACGACGACGACGACGACTGCGACGAGATCGAGGTCGAGGAGGACAAGGACGATGACGACGACGACGACGAGGACGAGAACAAGGACGGAGACGACGACGACAAGGACGAGGACGAGGACGGGGACGGGAACGACGATGACGACGACTACAACGACGACCACGACGACGACGCCGACGCCGACGACAGCCACGACGACGACGGCAACAGCGACGACGACGACGACGACAACGACGACAACATCGACGACGACGACGACGACGACGACGACGACGACGGCCTTCTCTGAAGGTCTCCAGAGGTCTCTCCAGAGGCTTCTGGGAGCGTCTGCAGGCCCTGCGAAGCCCTCGAACACCACGACGAACGTTCAAAGTAGCCTGCAGGCACCACGGCAACCTGCGCGCTTTTTCGCACGCCAATTCGCCAACACGCGATCCGCGATCGGACGACAGTGTCGCCCTCGCCCTGGAGCCGCGCAAGCTTCCCATGAGCATGAGCTTCCCGTCTCGGCGTGCTTCCTGACTACCTACCAGACCACCCCAACCCAACCCGAAGACCTGAATTTGACCCGAATTTCGGGTTGGGGGGGGTACGGGTTCCATGTGTTTTTTCAATGTTTCCCGACCCCCCCAACCGGAAATGGAGGGCAAACTGAAGCCTTCGGGTTGGGTTGGGGTGGTTTGGTGAGTGGTGACTTCCCCCCGCCAGGTGTTTGTGCGCACGCGCGGGCGAAGAGTCGCCATCGCCCAAGCTCTGTGCGCATTTCGCTTTGGGAGTGGCGCTCCCGCGCCGGTGCGGCGCGTGCGTCGCCCGCCGCCGGAAGCGCCTGAAAGCGGCAGCGGGGCCGCGCGAGTGGGCGAAGTGCTGTGGCCGCCCAAGCGCCGCGAAAGCTGCAAAGCGGAGATGCCGTATCGGCTCGGCGCACGCTCGCATGCTTCGCCTTCGCCGCGCTCATTGGCAAGCAATTATATGCCGCTCCCGCCCATGCGCGTCCCGCGTAGCGATCCCCTCGCCAAGCCGTCGGAAGCGGGACCGCGCGCGAGCGTCGCGAGGTGGGAACGTGTTCTGGTCCAGGTCCGCCGATCAGGTGAATTTGAAAAGCTGAGTCTGTGAGCAGGGACCGACCGCCCCGGCATTCCCACAGGCCTACCACGAAATGTTCTTAGAACCCCGAAATGTTCTAATAACAAACATAAGTTTCTTAGAACATAGACCCGATGTGTTAAAACTGGACAGTCTCGGCCAGATATGGTCTAATAACATTTTGCAGAAATCACAAAACGGTTCTTAGAACATTGTTTGGTGTGCCTACAGGCACGCAAGGACGCTTCGCCACTGCTTGATTTAAGTTCAGGCTTCAGGTCTGCTGAAGCTGCAAACTGAGCTTCAGTTCTGCTGGAAGAGTGTGCCTGGGTGGCCCCGCTGGGATGGCTCGGCTGGGATGGGTGGGGGGGAACGTTGAATCCCCCAGCCGACCCAAGACTATCCAAAAGGGGCCCAGGAGGCCACCAAGACGGTCCAAGAGGCGCACGAGACGGCACAAGACTGCTCCAGGACGCCGAAGATAGCCTGAAGACGGCCCAAGAGCCCTTCAAGACGCTTTGAGAGGGCCTCAAGAGGGCCCCGCAGAAGGCAGCTGGAGGCAAATATTGGCCAAATTCAATATAATTTGATACGATTTTGCGAATATCGCCTGCTCTGTCTTAAGAGCACCCTAGACGGTCCCAAGAGGCCCCAAGACCGCCCCTAGCCAGTCCAAGAGGCACCGAAGACGGCTACAAGACGCCCCAAGAGGATCCCAAGATGGAAAAGAAGACCCCAAGATCACCCCAAGAGGCCCCCAAGAAGGGCACTCGAATTGACCCTTCGAGACCTTCACCCCAAGATGACCCAGGAGGCCTCCAAGCGGCCCCCAAGAAGGCACCACGATGCCCCAAAAAGGGCCCAAGAGGCCTCAAAGAAACCCCCAAACGGCCACTAAGACGCCCCAACACGCGCCGCCTCGCCCGCTACAAGGCCAGGGCATTGGTCTTACTTGGTGTTGCTCGGAAGCGACGATGCTGCACTGAGAACGAGCGAAGGCCTCCGAACACCTCGAACCTCAAACCTCTTAGCTCCTCGCTACGCGGTGGCGGCCCTCAAACACTTTTTTGGTCCGCGGGTCGAGAGCGCACCTCTCCCGTCTCGAGCGCGAAAGATACCCGTACCCTTACCCAGACGGGGTGGCAAGGGGCCCTCGGGGCATCACCCCCCCTGGGTCCGGGTCGGCTCCCGAAACCACCATACATACCCGTACCTAGACGGGGTGACCCAACCACCACCCCAGCTAGGTCCGGGTATGTATGGTTGTTTCGGGCAACGACCCGTACCCAGACGAGGTGGCGGCAAGGCCGAAAACGCTCTAGCGGGCGGCCCTTTTCACCCCAGCTGACCCCGGGTCCGGGTATGTTTTGGGCTAGTGATCCCGGTCGAAGCTGAGCGGGCCGCGCGGAGCTCGAATTGGGCAGAGGAGGCGGCCCTCCAACGCCAGGAGCGCCCCGGAGGGGCGGTGCAGGCCGGAGGCCATTCGAATACCACGCTGTGCCACACGTTCTCTTCAGCCTGCGGGAGGGAGGGTGGGAGCGGGCGGGGCCCGCGGACTCGCTCGACCTGGCTGAGCTGACTCCTACGCTTATGTCGGGCGTGTCCCCCCACAAGGGGATCTTCGACGAAAGATGAGAAATACGCAAAACAAATGCCCCGAAAAGGTCAAACAATACTCAAAAAATAGTCCCCAGATTATTGTTTTGCTATTTGTATGACTATTTTTGGGGTACTGTATATACTTTCGTCGAAAATCCCCCTGTAGGGGGACAGGCCCGACTTTATCCTACGCGTCCCTCTCCTCTGCTCCGCGGAGGGCTCCTTCTTCGTTCCCGGGAGGCGGTTGGTTTCCCGCTGCCGGCCGTCGGGGAACTTCTCGTCGGTCTCTATGATCATGCGCTGGGAGGGAGGGAGGCTCACCGCCGTCGTCGTCGTTGTTGCCGATCGCCGTTGTCGTCGGTGGCACCCTCTTCGGCCCCGCTGCTGTCGTCATCTTCCTCCTCTTCTTCCTCCTCCGCATTCTCCTCATCCTCCATCTCAGCCACCCTCCTCGACCCTCGCCCCTGAATTGCAGTCATCGCTCCCCTCCTCCCTTCTCCGTCGTCGTCGCCATCCTCATCGTCCTCCCTCCTTCCTCCCTCCATCTTTCCGCCTCTCGCCCCTCCCTACTCCTACCCACTCCTCTTCCGCCAGGGGCCTCTAGCAGCAACTCATGGAGGCCTCTGGGAAACCCCGGAGACCTTCGAGGACCTCCTCCCTCCTCTTCCTCTTCCGCCCTCCTTCTCCTGCTCCCCTCCTTCTCCTGCTCCCCTCCTCCTCCTCCTCCTCCTCCTCCTCCTCCTCCTCCTCCTCCTCCTCCTCCTTCCCCCGTTCCCTCCTCCTTCTCCTCCGTCCCATCCTTCTCCTTCTCCTCTTCTTCCTTCTCCTGCGCCCCTCCTGCCCCACTCCTGCGCCCCCCCCGTTCCCCCCAATCCCCCTCCTCCTTTCCGTCCCCCTCATCCTACTCCTTCCTCTCCCCATCCATCTCCTCCTCCTCCTCCTCCTCCGCCTCCTCCTCCTCCTTATCATACTCCTCCTTGTCCTCCTCCGCCTCCTACTCGCTGCCGCGCGCGCGCTGGGGTGGGGGGGCAGGCTGGTTCGGAAATGTTGTTCTGATAGTTTCGGCTGTAGCCGACCGCTTTCGATGATTTTCGGTGTGGGGGGGCTCTGGAGCGAAGGGAAGCGGAAAGGCGAGATTTCCCTTGGTTTTAAAAGATCTCTGCTACTTCCAAGTCGAAGGGGCAGGATTACGAGGAGGAGGAGGAAGAGGACGAGAAGAGGAGGAGAAGGAGAGGGACGAGGAGGAGGAGGAGGAGGAGGAGGAGGAGGAAAAAGCAATATAATGTGCTCCGTTCATTGCCGAGCACGCGCTGAAAAGGAACAGAGGCCCATGGACCTGCACGGTGAGAAGTCCGATGTGATCTTGTGGTGCGCATGGTCGACCGCATGGAGTGCAAGAGACACGAGCGCACACCACCAGGCGCTTGGCATAAGGCACGCGCAGCACACCCGCAGTGAGATCAAAGCATCAGACTACATAACTAGCGCATCGAGCTCGTGCGTGCGACGCCCTCCGATCCTTGCTGCCGCTGGAGGCCCTGAACATACCAGTGCGCGCCGCGGGGACGTCTCAAGCGACGCGCCCAGACCGCCGTTCCGACGCGTCTGGTGGTGCGACGACGAGGAGGGACGTCTTGCAGAAGGTGGAGGAGGCGGGGGAAGATGCAGGAGAGAGGTATAGAGACAAGCTCGGTGCGCTCTCGCGCCTCATCTGAAATCCGATCCTGTCCTCCCATCCCTTGGCATGGCACTGAATTCCCTCTATCCGCGGACGCGTGTCATAGCCGATCTGCGAATCACACAAAGAGACCACTTCGTGCTACGTGTGCGCAGTCGCAGAAAAAAGGAAGCTGCGTGCACAGGGGGGAGAGGTGGCGGGAGAGCAGGAGGATAAGCTGGAGGAAAATGATAATGACGAACATCAGCAGCAGGAACAAAAGCGGAAGGATCGGGATGGAAAGGAGGCCCAGGGGAAGGCGGGGAAGGGGAAATGAGGGTGGCGACAACGATAACGACAGACTCCGATTCAGAAAAATGGCCCGCGGTGGGACAAGACCACGCTAACTGGTCAGAGAAGGGCAGCAGGAACTGGAGCGGAAAGAGCAGGAGGAATAGGAGGACCAGGGGATGACGGAGGAGGGGAAATGATGCGGGGGACCACAATGAAGCAAGAGTCGGATCCAGAAAAATTGCCTGCGCTGTGGCGAGCGAGTCATTCTGAACGACGGGAAAAACCCGCCGATCCGAAAATGAGGCCTGCGCTGTAGCGGGAGAACTGTTTTGAAACACCGGAAACAGTTGGATTGTAAAAAGCCATTCGAAGAGTGCTTGAAATATTGCGTATAAGAAACAGCACGCGGGGATGCAGGGGAGGAGGGAGGAGAGTATTCACATGGTGTAAATATGGAGGAAACGTTGTGGAGCAGGGAGGGAAGGAGGAGGTGGATGACGGGCCGGCAATGGATAAAGGGAGGTGAAGGGAGTCGGAGCAGCACGAGAAGCAGGAGGAGGAGGGACGAGGAAAGGGGAGGCACATGACCTCCCCCATTCCCCGCAGCAGAAAGGGCAGGATGGGGGAGGAAGGTATGAGCGTAATGAAGTGGACACGGCCAGCCGGAGAGAACGGGACGAGTGAGAACGCATACTTTCTGGTGGGCGACCGCGCGAGAAGCGCGACAATACCCTGGCGACCACGAGAGGAAACACGTCCTGAGGGAACGGGGTCCTGGACCCTGTGGCCTCTCCAAAAGACCAAATTCGCATCCCGAATAATTTCCCCACGGTCCCCGGGCCCTGGGCAGGGACCCTCGGAGCCCGAAAACAACCAAAAAACGCATCCGCCGAGGAAATCCAATACGTTGATTTACCCAAGCCTCTTGTTTGGATTCTCGTTTTGAACAGAACACTGTGGTGTCCATTGTTTTTCTTTCTCCTAACCCCCTCCCCATGCGCGGCTCCATGGGTGGCCCTGAACTGCGCAACTGTCACCACCTTCCGCAGACCACCATGAGGGCTCGCCGTCCCTGGGGGGCTGCGACATGCGAAACTGCTGCCATGCTCGTGGGCTCCTGGGGGTTCAGCTGAGTGACGTCTTACACAAACCACCATGACACCTTGCCGTCCTGGGGGGGCTGCGATCTGCGAACCTGTCGTCGCTTTTGTGGGCTCCCAGGGAGGCCAAGCAGAATGTCGTTTTACGCAGACCACCATGAGACTCGCCGTCCCTGGGGGACTGCGATCTGCGAAACGATCGCCACTTTCGTGGGCTCCTGGGAGGCCCAGCAGAGGTGATGTCTTACGCAGACCATCATGAGACCTCGCCGTCCTTGGGGGCTGCGATCTGCGAAACAGTCGCCGCTTTCGTGGGCTCCTGGGCTCGTGGGAGGCTCTGGCGAGGCTCGTCCTCATCGGGCCGCAGACGTCCACCCCTATCGACTTCCGCAAGCTCGCGGTCACGCGGACAGGCTTGCGGCTCTCCCACGCCAAGGTGCTCACGTCGAAGGCTTGCCAGGGCCGGACCATGCACGGGGGCGTCTGCGCCGACGCCGGACACGAGGATCTCCAGAGCGTCGGCGCCTGACACCCTCCTCCTCAGCTGCGCCCCAGGCTTGGATCCTTCCTCGCGGAGGCCACCGGCGGACCTGGCCGCTCGCCTCCAGGGCTCCAGCACCCGCGCGGAGAACGGCAGGAAGCAAGCCCGCGAAGATGGGCAGGGGGCGCGCACGCGCTCACGCGCGGCGCGCGGCACCACGCTCGCGCGTCGGTCACATCGAGGGCCCGCGCCACGTGCGCCATCTTCGTGCAGTCCTGCTGCCGTCTCCGTATGATGCCACGCGCGTGATTCTGCCTGCCGCGGCCGCTTCTCTTGCTGGCCCGGCCTCGCGCCGTGCTGGCCATGATGGCCCAGGAAGATGCTCCCCACACCCTCGCGGCGCACAAGTGCGCCAACTTCGACATCCAGGGCCGCTGCAGCGGGAACATCCTCCGGCACGAGACAGCCTTCCAAGGAGGTGCAGCCGCAACTGGGCTCGACTGCAACGCGCCGACATGGCAGCTTCCAGCAGACGCTGGGCCAGATCATGGCAGCCTCTGGCGAGCGGGGTAGCTCGCGAGGGGCCGCTGGGTCGAGGCCGAAGGTCTCCATTCTCGAGGCCACGAACAACAATGGCACGGACTCGACTACCTTTTCTGCACGATTCAGATGGCGTCCTTTGTTGAGTAGGACTTCGCGTGACAGATGAACACTTGGCGGCTCCACGAGCAAGGGAATGAGGCCGAGGCTGCGTGGACTTTCAGCGGCTAAGTAATAATGCTAGAGTTGCGCGGAATAAGTTGCGATGTCAGTTGCATGCCTTTGTATGGCGCAGAACTCTTGCTTCTGCTGACTCTGAATAATCGAATTCTCATCCCGGTCTAGCGCAAGGCCCAACACGAGCCGTAGGACGCACGTGCTCAATTCGACAACATACGCCACTAGTCTCCTCCACTCACCCCATTGTTGCTCCAGTGATGTGTTGCATCTTGCTCCCAGGTCGCGTCGTATGCCTCAGCGCCGTTTTGCCCCAGGCCGCTCGCTTCCCTCGCGCTCGGACAACGGTTGCCTCATAGTTCAGGCCATGGCCAGTCCGTTCCCGGAGAGCGCTCCGCTCCGGGCACAGTCCCCGCTCCTAGCACGACCAGCGGCAGCCAGTCGGGCGGATGGGTGATGGGGGCACAGACACCAGTCGCGATCGTCTTGGACTCCCAGATGGGAGGATCCGCCCATCACGGTGGACGTACTTTTAAGTCGGGCCTGTCCCCCTACAAGTGGATTTTCGACGGAAAATCAAGAATAACAGAACAACACCCCAAACATACTGAAAACTAGTAAATCAAAGGGTCCCCAGACTATTTTTTGTCTAGTTTTGAACATTCCTCCTGTCGAGGGACAGGCCCGACTTAAGCCGTACTTGCATGTCTTCACCTGGCAGCTTCCAGTGCAGGCGCCTGCCGAACAGGGAGAGGTGGACCCGGGGCTGGGTTCGGCTGCCCGGGGCGCCCAGCCCACCGTGCGGGTCAGTGCCTGATTCGCTCGGCACGCCGCCTGGAACACCGCCCGACGTTCCTCCAACTTCGTATGATCTGGGCGGGCCACTTCCCATTGGGGTGGAGGTTGGCGCACCAAGCACCGATCCCACTGCAACTTCCAACGGTGAGACCCCACCCGCCCAGAGCGGCGGCTGTCGTTTTGCTTTGAGCAGTGTCACGCGCTAGCTGGTAGCCCCACCTAGCCCGGCGTGACCTCAGGAACGCCGGTCACGTCAGCTTTCAGCCAGCGGCCTCCTCTCTCTCTCTCTCTCGGCATACTCGTGCAGTTATCTACCTCCTCCTGGCCGCTTGCGCGCTCTCACGAGGCGAAAGCTACTTTGGGGTGCGCCTTCGAGCCAGGGTCTGGAGGCCGCACTCTGCACCAGCCAGCGCAGGCAGCCTGCCTGCCCGCCTGGACAACAGTCGGGAAGCGCACACTTCACATGCCCGTGACCCCTGCGGACAATAGGCGATGCACTCTGACCGCAGTCGGACGCAGCAGCGCTAAGCAAAACACAGGGGGTCAACGGCAGCAGTAGTAATTCCGGTTGTTGGCATGCCATGCGCATGCCGCGGCAGACATGCCCTTGCAGTGTCTACTCTCTCACGCCTCGCAGCTGCCCTGCCCACGCCATACATGCCATGTCATGCAGTTGCACTCCTGGTCCATGCCACCTCCTGCGTACTCGTTTTTCAACGTTCCACGCCTCATGCTGTTGCTGGCAAGCCAGATCCCTCTTGCACAGCACCTCGACGAACCTCCGAACCCATTCTTACCCATACTCTACTGGCTTCTTGCCCAACCTATCAAGGCAGCCATGTTAGGCTGCCGCTCAGATGCCAGAGCGGCAGAGTGGTGCCCACGAGCAGCTGCACAGACTCAACAAGTTGGATGGGTGGGCATGCCAGAATCTCACGTTTACCAAATGATGATCGGCGGGCAACCCTCCCTCTTGGACCCTGGCAACCGTTCTTTTCGGACGAACTGAACCTGGGACTGGAACTAGTTACTCGAAATCCCTGACCCCGTACCCGCTACCACCACCCCTCCCTCGATTATTTCCCCCCCTCCTTTCAACCTCCCTCCTCCTTCCCCGGTGTCCTGCCTCATCCTTCTTCCTCCTTTCCTCCCCTTTGCTCTATCTTCCCCCTCCTCCTCCCTCGAATCACTTCCCTTCTATGTTGTTCCTCCCTCCACTTCCCTACCTCTCGTCATCGTCCCCCTCATCCTCCTCCGCCTCAATCTCCACATCCTCCTCAACCTCCTCACCCTTCTCTCCCTGTGAAAACTTCGGCTGCACGAAAGAGTGATATAGGCAAGCGTGACCTGTGGGGCGCGGCTTGCCAATCGATGTGTGCGGTGTAACAGCAGTGGCCTGCATGCTGTGGTTTGGCCCCCCACGCCACCCGAAAACTGCGCACTAAAGACCACTCTGGCGGCGAAGGGTCACTCTTCCACGTAGCTGAATGTGAAGGTTGCTCGCTCGGGTCCTTTTCGGGGTCGTTGGGGCTTTGCAGAACGAGCACCACGAGGTCGCAGACGCGCACTAGCTTCTTGTGCTCCGCTGCATCCAACATAAGACGTGCGGCTCCGCTCTGGGTGCCGCTTTTTTAATGAACCACCAGCGGCCTCAGCGAATGGCGGTGGACACAAGAGTCGCGCAAACGGATGTAAGATCGATCAACATCGAGCCGGGGAATCAGATTGGATCGGAACGGGCATCGCGCATCGCATCGGTCTGCACCAACATGGATCCGAATTTGAATCGAACCGGCCACGCCAAAATGAACAACAAACGGAATGCAATCATCGAATCGCATCGGGTCGTTAGAAAATGGGCATCACATCGGATCGAACCAGCCAGAATCGACATCGAACCGGATCGATAGGATCTAAATGGGCCCTAGATGGGTCAAGAGTCGCGCACACGGAGGACGAAATGAACACACGAGATGCTCAGACGGAGGCGCGCCCACTCTTCTCAATCCAATTTTTTCGGGGCCCAACAAACAAGAATGACTAGCCGTACCGTTCCATGTCTGAAACGTCTGCGACGTGAAGGCCAGCCCTGTCCACGGTAACGATGTGCTCAAGATGGCGATGGTAAACTAATGATGACCGTCATGGCCTTGGCAACGATGGCCGCAACACTGGGAGCGGCGGCGAAGATAACGACGCGTGGACGATAACTGCTACTGTGATGGTAGTGGCACTGAAGAAGGGCAGCCCAAGGATAGGGGTGGTGCAAGTAACATGAGATGATCGTTGGGAAGGAATGCGGGTTGATGGCATGCGTTGGGAACTTCGTCTGAAAGACAACACAAAACACGCGATGATTCCATGAACTTGCAACTTTCACCCGATCACCTTCCTCAGGCAACCGGAGGGCGCTCCTCGACCTCCTGGCCCATCTGGGGCAACGTTTTGGCCTTGCCGACGCCGAACTTACTGATGTCGATATTGTGTTCCTTGGATGGCGGAGTGACAACGGGGAGAGGCGATAGCATAATAAAACATGCGACACACATGTTTCAAGTTACTAATTTCGTGAACGAGGACTCTCTCGCAAAACGCTGGATCCCAACGGCGGATGGGCGTGGCGGAGGGTCCATGGAAGCCCAAGCCGACTCCGACAAACGAGATCCCATCCCTGCGTTTGCCTCCACGATGCCTTCTGTGACCCCCCCAATCTCTCTGGGCCGTTTCGGGTACAGTCGAATGCAAGCTCCATCTGCTGACCTCCAAGGTCACGAGACATGTTCCCAGGAAAGGAACAGCTCCACCCCCGCTCACACCAGATGGTCTACATCATAGTTCACAAGACATAGCTGTCACTGCACACCTTGCCCATCATAGCGTACATCACACAGCTTACACCGCAGAGTCCACATAGATCACACCGCGTGACTCACACGGCCGACATTACACCGCATTGTTTGCACAACATCACCTACACCACATCGTGCACACCACACAGCTCACTCCGCATGGCGTCCGCCTCCACGGCGCAACAGCTCACACATGTCGGTGCGTGGTCGTTGGTAAGTGCCCTCAGACTCTCAGATGGCGTTTCGCTTTGTGTTATTCTCCCAAAGCCGTGCTTAATCGGATGGGCTCTTGGTTGCGCTCCATGCGCAGTTGGAAGGGTCCGCCGAAGACGTTCCAAGTTGCCGCCCCGTGCGGCCTCACGGGCGCCCTGTGCGCTGGCTGGGCCCGCTGAGTTCTCGCCACGCTGCCGCCCGCGCCGCCTCGTGGGCGCCACGTGCGGAGGATCGGCTTGCCGAAACTGCGCCACCTTGCTGCCCACGCCGCCTCATCGGCGCTCGTGGGCACTCCGTGCGCTGGGCGAGTCCGCCGAAGTTGCGCCGCGTTGCCGCCTGTGCGGCTTCGTTGGCGCTCGTGGGCGGCCTGTGCCCTGGGTTGGTTCGCCGAGGTCGCGCCACGCTGCTGCCCATGCCGCCTCGTGGGCGCCCCGTGCGCTGAGCTTACACCGCATCGCTTGCACCACACACACACACACCGCCCAACTTGCACCGCATCGCTTGCAATACGTGCCATACTCCCAGCAGTTCCGGATAAGAGCGAGGGGGGGCGAGGGCGTCGGCACTCTGCGAGGCTCTGACAGACGCCCGCCGCAGGCGCAGATTTGAAGCAAATTGCACCACGAGCCCGCCGCAGGCGCTGAATTTGCGTCTGAATATGGGTGGGTCGCGAATGGGTCGCGTGCGGGTCGCGAGTGGGTCCCGGGTGGATCGCGGGCTGGTCGCGGCGGGTCGCGGATGGGATGCAGTGGGGTCGCGGGCGAGGACGACAATAACCGCAACAACACTAACAATCATTTTAAGACTGTTCGCTCTTATCTGCTCGAGTGCCGTTCAACACGTATTTCCCAAACCCTCGGTACCCGCCCTCTCCGTCTTCCGATTGTACTCCCTTAGGGGTTGATCCTCCTTACCTGCAACGTGTATTTCGTGCAGCCCCTAAGGCAGGAGAAGAGTAGACGGATGGAGGGAAGAGACAAGGGGGAGGAAGGAGGATGGAGCACGAGAGAGAGAGAGAGAGCATAGCAGGAGGGGGCCAGGAGCAGAAAGCACGGGTCAGAACCAGACGGGCAGATCGGGCGGGTAGATTCCTCGCGATTCACTCACAGACGAGCCGCTTGAGACTCTCTCAAGGTGCAAGCCTGAGGGGGCCACAGATAACGACAGTTACATGATTTAGGTGACCCCGCTCGGATTTCAACATCGAGGTTATGACCTAATGGGGACGGGATCCCGCCTGAAACATCCTCGTGATACACACACAAGGCTTCCGCTCGAGACCTCCTCCAGATTCAAGCCTGAAGAACCCAAAAGCGACGGCTGTTACAGGGTTCAAAAGCGACGAGACTTACAGGATTTGGATGATCCCGCTTTGGTTCCAACATGGACGTGGGGACCCCATAGGCAGGGCTTCCCGCTCGAGACCTCCTCGTGATTCACTCACAGACGAGGCTCCAGCTCGAGACGCCCTCCAGATTCAGACCTGAGGGGCCCAACAATGACGACAACTACAAGGTTTGGATGATCCGCTCGGATTCCAACGTGGAGGTAGGGACCCCACAGGGACGGGCTCCCGCTCGATGTGTCCGCTCGATTCGCTCACAGACAAGGCTTCCGCTCGAGACTTCCTCTAGATTCGGGCCTGACGAGTCCCCCAAAAAGACAATTAAAAGGTTTGGGAGACCCGCTCGGACTCCACCATGCAGGTGGGAACCCTATAGGGAGGGGTTTCCGCTCGGGCTTTCCCTCAAGGTGAGTATGTGAGTGTGTGTGTGAGAGTACACGAGTGCGTGCGAGACGATGATGATGATGATGATGATGCTGATGATGTGATGATGATGATGAGGATGATGATGCTGATGATGATGATGGTGATGATGGTGATGGTGATGATGTTGATGGTGATGATGATGCTGATGACGATGATGGTGATGATCACGGTGTGGTGTGGAGACGACAAGAAAGCAAGCGGTTTCCGCTCGACACCTCCTCGCAACCCTCTCACATACAACGGCCATGGTGCACCCACATGATGTGTGAGGAAACATGTTAGGAACTGCGTGACTGTTCCCGTGGTGATGATGACGATGACGATTATGGCCGGTGATAATAATGGGATGGTGATGGCGATGGTGGTGTGATGCTGAACATGATGATGATGGTGATAATGACGATGACGATGCTGAAAATGATGATGATGGTGATGATGATGACGATGATGATGATGATGGTGATGACGACGATGATGACGATGATGATGATGATGATGATGATGATGATATGAGATGATGATGATGATGACGACGACGACGACGACGACGACGACGAAGACGACGACGATGATGATGATGATGATGATATGATGATGATGATGATGATGATGATGATGATGATGATGATGATGATGATGATGATGATGGTGACCGTGATGAGTGTGAGAGGACAAGAGGATGAGAGGATGTTGGTGCCCTAGCGCGGGGTGTCCAAAGAAAACAAAAGCCCCACTCAGGATGTGGGGGATACAAATGACAGCGAGCGCCCACCCTGCCCTGCCAGGGCTCCGAGGGCTCGAGCGCCTCCGTAAAGAGACCCGCCGCAGGCGCAGATCTTCGAACAAGCCAGTCCGCCGCAGGCGGCGATTACACGTCGATGCGTGTGGGTCGCGGGGCCGGTCGTCGACGAGCGGCGAGGTTCGAAAGTAAATGCAGAGAAGCCCGCTGCAAAAACAAAGGTGTTTGCACAGCCAGCACGCCGCGGGCTGGCGACTTAGCAAGGCGCACAAGGCGCGGGTGTGGGTTGTGGGTGTGGGTCTCGGGTGGATCGCATGAGGGCTCGCGTGTGAGTCGCGGGGGCGCATCAGCCACGCGTCCAGGACGGTGAAAGACTTTTCGGCCCCTTCGATCGGACAGACTAGCCTTGGCCTTTGCAAGGCTCGGTCCAAGCCTCCTGGTACTGAAAACAACGAGCCCCTAGGCACTGGCTGACGCAACCAGTCCCACCAGCCCTTTGGGCGACTGGTGGCCTAGAGAGGGCCTCTTTCCTCTTCCACAACCCCTCTTCCCTTCGGGGAGGGGAACCCCCTCCCTCCCTCCCTGAGGTTTCTTGGGGCGGACCGCGAGGTGTCGGAGGCTTCTTTTTCGGCCATCGGGAGGGCAATTTTTTGCCACCGCTCCAAGGATCGTGGCCCCCGAGGGGGGGGACCTAAATCGAGTACCCCCCCTCTTTTGACCGACCGCCTCCAAGATAGCTCCAAGAGGCCCTCTGGGGCTCCCCAGAGGCCCCCCAGAGGGTCCCACTCGCCCCAAGAGGTCCTAAGGGGGCTCCAAGAGGCCCCCCAGAGGCCTCCAACAGGCCCCGAGCTGCCTCAGAGAGCCCACGATGACCTCCAAGATGGCTCAGATAGCCCAAGCTGGCTCGAGATGGCTCCCAAGATGCTCCAAGCGGTCCCGAGACCGCTCCAAGACGGCTCGAGACGGCCACGAAGCCTCCCAAGCCTCCCCCGCTGTTTGACTATGCGCGTCTCTTCCTCTCTCCCCCCGTCAACTCTCATGGGTATCGTTTCTGGATGGGCTGGTGGGGATACTTTTTAGTCAGCAGCCGCTTGCGAGAGCGCCAGCGGCGAGTCCAGTCAGAGCGGGCCGCGCAAACACGAATTAACCTAAAGCCGATGGGCCGGAGCCTCACGCGGCACCTCGGCGGGCAAGCCTGCGAGTGGAAGGGTGCTGGCTGCGGCTGCCAGGGAGCAGGAGGAGGAAGCCGAAGCGGGAAGCGGGTAGCTGCACTGCCAAGGGTTGCACGCATGCAGCGAGCTGCAGAGGGGCCGACTGCAAGGGGGGCCGACTGCCAGGGTCTGCAAGCTGCTGAATTGGATACAAGGGGTGGGCACCCAGGGGACTGCGAAGTACCAGGGTGGCCAGAGCCAGGTTGGCCGAAGCCTCCACGAGGCGAATTGTGTGCGAGTGAATTGGCCAGCCGAAGCTGTAACGCAGCCAAAATGGCGCGCGGGAACACCACGGTGTGACCAGGGCGAAGCACCTCAGAGTAGGCCCAAGATGCCTGCCAAGGTCTTGCGGGCTGGTGGGGGATACGCGAAGCGTCAAGACATGCCACCAACACCACCTGTGCTGGTGGACCGACGCATATGCAAAATTACTGGCAGTGCTGATCCATGCGTTTGCCCAGCTAAGGGGCACTAGCTCCTTTGTGCGCAACATTCCATTGCACGCTCTCCGCATCTCGCTAGTCCGAAACTTACACACTGTACGCTGTATCACGTCTGCGATTCCTCCTCCTCCAATTTCCCATTCCCCTCCTCCACTACCGCTTCCATGTGTTTCTGAACACAAGTATGTGGTGTACGTGTGGCTCTAGGGCAGACGTCGCTCATAATGCTGGTCTGCATCTACCTCGTCAGATCGTGCAACAACTGCCGCCACCTCATGCTCACTCTCCTCGCAATTAGGAGAGTCACAATCCTTCAACATACTCTCGAACGTCTCCAGATTGAATCCAGCGCCTTTCAAATCTGTGGACGATGATACGTCGTCTATCTCGTGGATGTTTGCGCGCTTGGCCTCGCAAGTGGCAAGATGTTGCACAAGTGGAGGCGGAGACGGAGTACACCTAGCCTCTGCCCCCACCTGCAAGTCTACCATCGTCCGCCGCAAGATCATTGCTTCCGACCTCTTCGCACACTCTGCTAGAAAGCAGTCGTACTGGGTGCCGCGACCAGGTTCGCCGTTGCTAGCATAGCTGTGGTGGGTGGCCCAAACACCCCCAGGCTGGTGAATGACACCGCTTTTGCCCTGAAGCGTAACATTCCTGCTAACTTGATGGTTTGGAGCGAAGGGGGGTTGGACTAGTCTGACGCTGAGGAGAAGAGAAAGAGCGACAACTGAGTGCAAATCCCAAGCGAGCGCACTGACGCGGCATTATCCAAACGTGGCTCCGTGCCGAAGGCCATGCTAGACCCCAACCAGCATGCTTCCTGCTGCACCGCATGACGCTGTTGGGGTAAAAGGGGGCCATCGGGGGAAGATGCCCAGAAGCTGGAAGCTCACGTAGCTGGACCTGCATGCAGAACATCTGGGCGCCACGCCCTGGACACATCTTCTCGTCAGCGGCGAGGCGGCGAACTCCGCTCCAGCGAGAGGCTTGATAGGGGCACTAGCTAGCGAATTGGCCGGCGGGCACGCTCTGGACACATACACATGCGACAGAACTGCGAGCCTTAGGTCGGGCATGTCCCCCTACAGGGGGATTTTCGACGAAAACAACAAAATACTCAATTATCCAGGCGAAGGACCCAACCATACGCAAGTGTGAAAACCGCAGGGCAGGTGAGACGAAGCAAGGGAATTCCTCATGGGGCCACGAACCGTGTGAGGGGTGCACCAAACTGGCGCGGGGCCGCCACGCGAACCCTGCCACTGGGGCCTTCGGTGGAGCTCCCTATGGGGCCACGAACCGCGTGAGGGTTGCGCCAAAAATGGTGCGGGGCCGCCACGCGAACCCTGCCACTGGTGCCTTCGGTGGAGCTCCCTACGGGGCCACGAACCGTGTGAGGGGTGCGCCAAACCGGCGCGGGGCCGCCATGCGAACCCTGCCACTGGGGCGCTCGGTGGAACTCCGTATGGGGCCACGAACCGTGTGAGGGGTGCACCAAACTGGCGCGGGGCCGCCATGCGAACCCTGCCACTTGGGCTTTCGGTGGAACTCCCTATGGGGCCACGAACCGTGTGAGGGGTGCACCAAACTGGCGCGGGGCCGCCATGCGAACCCTGCCACTGGGGCCTTCGGTGGAGCTCCCTATGGGGCCACGAACCGCGTGAGGGGTGCGCCAAAATGGTGCGGGGCCGCCATGCGAACCCTGCCTCTGGGGCCTTCGGTGGAGCTCCCTATGGGGCCACGAACCGTGTGAGGGGTGCACCAAACTGGCGCGGGGCCGCCATGCGAACCCTGCCACTGGGGCCTTCGGTGGAGCTCCTTATGGGGCCACGAACCGTGTGAGGGGTGCGCCAGAATCGTGCGGGGCCGCCATGCGAACCCTGCCACGGGGGGCTTCGATGGAGCTCCCTATGGGGCCACGACCCGTGTGAGGGGTGCACCAAACTGGTGCGGGGCCGCCATGCGAACCCTGCCTCTGGGGCCTTCGGTGGAGCCCCCTATGGGGCCAAGAACCGTGCGAGGGGTGCGCCAAAATGGCGCGGGGCCGCCTTACCCTGCCACTGGGGCTTTTCGGTGGAGCTCCCTATGGGGCCACGAACCGTGTGAGGGGTGCGGGGCCGCCATGCGAACCCTGCCACTGGGGCCTTCGGTGGAGCTCCCTATGGGGCCACGAACCGTGAGGGGTGCGCCAAAATGGCGCGGGGCCGCCATGCGAACCCTGCCACTGGGGCGTTCGGTGAAACCCCCTATGAGGCCCCGAACCGTGTGAGGGGTGCGCCAAACTGGTGCGGGGCCGCCATGCGAACCCTGCCACCGTGGCCTTTCGGTCGAGCTCCCTATGGGGCTACGAACCGTGGGAGGGGAGCGCCAAAACGCGGGGCCGCCATGCGAACCCTGCCACTGGGGCCTTCGGTGGAGCTCCCGATGGGGCCACGAAGCGCTGTACTGGGTGGGTGAAACGCAAGGAGGAGGGAGGAGGGGGAGGAGGAGGGGGCAGCGGGAGGAGACGCGGGGCACCGTCTCTTCAAAACGAGGACCCAACACCACAGGATGGTTGGGAACAAGATTCAAACATGGCCAAACAATGCTCAAAATATAGTCCCCTGACTATTTTTTGACTATGTTTGGATATTCCCCCTGTAGAGGGACAGGCCCGACTTAAGGCGAGCCCCGCCATTGAAGGGCCGGGCGCTGGAAAGACAGATGGACACAGGCGCATCCATCTCGCGCCCAGGCTGGCCGCGTCAGATGTGCACAGCTTCCTGGCAAGTTCCCTGCTGCGCCCCAGGCTGCCATGCGGATCGTCGGGGCGGCCGGGGGAACACTGCAGTGCCGCTCTTGGCACGAGGCAAACGGCTCCCGAGGGACGCGGGTCCTGCACCCCGTGGCCTCTCCCCGGCACGGACGTCTCGCCCTGGGCCCGTGGAAGGCTCGGGCCCACGCTGAGCAGACTGCAGGATCCGCTCACCTCGGGAACCGCTTGCCTCGTGGCGGCCGATGGCAAGACGGCGTACCACGGTGGGGGGAGCCCTTAGATAAGGAATCCAGGGTCTGGAAGCCAGGGGAACTCCAATCGTGGGTTGGCCGTGGATATCACCGCCGCCCTCATCAGATAAGGAACCCTCCAGGGTCTGCAGCCTCCTGGGCGCATTCCTTAACGAATGCCCCCACCGTATTTCATGGGCATAACGCAGGTACGCACGCCAGGCCCTTGGCAACAACCAGTGCCGATCGAAGAGTCGCGGATGCACGGGTTACTGCAGGAGGAGGCAGGCCGCTAGAGAAGCTTCGAGACGACGCCGAGGCCATCGTTTCTTTGAGGAGTGTGCTGGGCAGGGGTGGTAAGACTTCGGGTTGCGCGCGAACAGCCCCCCCAAGGTAGTCCAGGCTGGCCTCAACAGGCCATCCGAGTAGTCCCAGCTCTGGGGCGCGGAGCTCCTCAGGGGCGCTGCCGCAGGCGGCGCCAGTGTGCTGAGGCCGCACCGGACTGCCCGGGGGGCCTCTTAAGGCCAGCTGAGACTACCTGGGACGGCTGCCTGTGCGCAGCCCGAAACCTTTAGCGTCGGGCCCGACAAACCACACCTGGACGATGCCAAAAACCCGGAACCCAAAACTGTGCACGCCTCCACTTCGCTTATCATATCCGCCACCCTCCGGCGGCCCTCCGCAGGCCTCCGCCGGCACACCTCTGCCGCCTTTGGTACGTCCGCCGGCTTCGCCTGGGGGCGAGACGCGCCCAAGGCGAATCCCTTCCTGGGACGCCTCAACCGTGCTTGCGTCCATCGAGTTGAACCTTGAAGGCGTCGACGCAAGTTCATGACGTGCGCGACAATCCGACGAAGCTCAGACGGCATGGGCATGGAACGATACGATCGGGGACTTCTGCTGAACGTGTCGCCGCGGCGGCCCCGGCGACACGCTATGCCCTGCGGGCTGATAGCGCGTCGCTCCACTCCGCGGGGCGGGAGACATGGAAAGGCTCGGGACGTTGACGCTTGGGCCGCTTGGGAATGGAGACGTGGATAGCGTGTCGCGCCGAAGCGTGATGCGCCAGAACTGGCGGCGCGATGAGCTAAACGAGAGTTCCCAGCCAGACAGTCTCCCTTCAGTCGCGCTTTTCGAAAACGAGGGGCCACGCGCCTTGTCCTTATCCCACCACTCGTAGACCATAGTTGCACCCGTCTTGTCCCTCAGGGTGAACCTCGCACTGTCTGCATGTTTCGCAGTAGCACTCGCAGTAACGCCCTGAAGAACATGTTTGCAGAGTCCGGATGCAAGAATGTCAAAGCGCATTATGCAAATGCGCGCGCACAACCTCACCCTCTTTTCAACACGTGTGCCGCGAAACGTATACGTTGATGTTGCGCGTTCACGCCTTTCGCATACACATTCACCTGGTGTGTGCTCGTGCATGTGGCCCGCTCTGCAAACCCAGACTCCGAAACGAGTCGCCGAAACTTGGAGGGAGTCTGTTCCTTCCGCCAGCTTCTGTCGGCGGAGCCATCTTCGTCTTGCTTCCGCCACCTGTTCTTCCTCGTTCTGCCAGATCTGAGGAGCCCTCGTTTTGCCGTTAGCTTCCGCTGGCGTCCTCTGGCGGAGTCGCAGAAATGGTTGCTTCTACCAGCTGCCGCCGAGAGCGAGAGGCCACCTCCGCGGTCTTCGTGGCCGAGGCCCTCTCGTGAACGCCTCGCGTATACGCCTGCGCGCGTAGACATGCCTGATGCCTCGGCCGACGGGAGCGCCGCCGTCGCCGTTGCCGCACTGGGCCACCAGCGGCTAGCCGATCACTCGCCAGGAAGATAGAGCGGTACTTACATGTGGCGAACATGGAACGGATAATAGATGCGATCTGGAACTTCTGTCTGTCGCCGCGGCGGCCGCAGCGCCACGCTGCGCGAAGCTATGCCCTGCATACGCTGCGCCACGCTCCACACAACACACACACACACACACACGCACACGCACACGCACACGCACACGCACACACGCACACACACACACACACACACACACGCAAACACACACACACACACACACGCACACACACACACACACACGCACACACACACACAACACACACACACACACACTGCGACACGCCAGCGACACGCCAGCGACGCGCTGCGCCACGCTTCGCTCCGAGGGGCGAGAGGCTAGGGAAAGGCTCGGGACGTTGACGCCTGGGCCGCTTGGGGACGGGGACGTGAATAGCGTATCGCGCCAGAGCGCGGAGGGCCAGAACTAGCGGAGCTACATTCTCAGGCAATGTTCCTGACCGTATTCCATCCTGCAGGCCTTGCCATGACGACCAAGGGTCATGTTTGTGATTGCCAGATGTTCATCCTTCGGGGGGCCTCTCCCTGGGCCCTCCCCTGCCCGGGCCGTGGGTCCTTCAAGCAAGGAGTCAGGACGACAAGCCGGTCCCAAGGAAAGCCCCAGGGTCCAGGAACCGTTGCCCTCAGGACCCCCTTCCCCCCGTGTCAAAGATCGGGTGCAAATTGCCCACCCCAGCCTGCCTCCGTTTCCTGCTAACGAGGAGTCCCGTGGCCCGTGTGACCGCCTGCAACACAAACGTATCGCATTGCACTGCACACCTGCCATGCGCACGCACTCACCTGTCCCCAGCCTGCGAAGGAAACATACTGCTAAGGTAAGCGATTGAAGCTGGCTGCCCAAAAAAAGGTACCTTGGGAGCTGTGCGGCCCTCATGCTCTTTGTTCAGGCGGTTGATCAACTCCTGACGCCTCTCCTGAATGCCTTCGTTCGCTTGATCGACCCGGAAATCCTCTGTTGGCGCCTCTTCTCCGTCTGGGACCGACTGTTTTGAGTCGGTCTTGTCCTCCTTCTTGCTGCCATCAGCCAACCACGCGTGCCCCATCATCTGCGCCGCGTCAAACCGCAGGGC